AAAATTAAAATATTTTTCATGCGACGCTTATCTAATATTAAACTTTACATTTGCTTAACAGAGCACAATCTTCACAATAACAGGGTATATTGCCAAAGGCAGCATGCAGACTTTTTGGAATTGCTCCCATCTCTTTCGGTTCACCTGTAAAAACATCTACGTGCTCCCTAGGACTGCATCTGTGGCTAGTTTTAAAGAATGACTACCCATGCAAATAGGCATAATTTCAGCATGAAATAATCTGTAAAATCAAGACAGTAGTCAATGCTTAGTTTGCAACCAGGATGGAGGAAAACGAAAAGAAAAAAAAAAGCTTTTAATACTTAGAAACATTATGTTTATTCTGCAGCCTTTGCCCACATATTCTGGATGTACTAAAGATTTTTCAAAGGTTTGGTGTCAGAGACAGTTATGCAAGGGATGTGATATTTGTTTACATTACTGGCTCCTTGCATACAGGAAAGCAAAGAATGATATAAATTTAAAAAAAAAAAAAATGTCATGAGTTCAGATGGGAGATCCAGAGCCTTACACTGTTATCAGGACACTGTCTTCAGAGGTCATTCCTTATCAAGAAGCACATTAAGCAAGTGAAGTTTGGAGACCTCACGATAACCATAAAATAACAAGGACTTCTGCTGCAGGGGCCCGATCCTACCACCTGCACACCAGGTAGCATCACACCCTGCAAGCAACTCTCCTGGAGTCCAGGGACACCAAAATCCTGATACGTGCAAGTGGTCGGATCAGGCCCTGCCTGGCAGCATGTGTCATAAAAGAACGTCTCCTGCTTTCTCTCAATTAATGGAAATGGAGGTTTTCAGGGGGCAGAATCAGACTCTTACAATCAGGTCTTCACCTAAAACAAAAATCTGAGGAGTTGGGTTTTCAGAAGGGCTGTTTTTGTAAATAAATGGCCAAGTCCTCAGGGGGTGGAAAGAGGTGACCGCCACTGGAGTTTTTAAGCAGGCGGTACTGGCACGGAATAAACCAGGGTCAAGGCTGACCTTTCTGTCTAGTAGTGTTCATTTGAAAGCAATATAAGCTAATTGCAAGACAACTGAAAGAGCTCTCGCTTACTGCACGTAAGATATTCTAAAGGCATTCTGCGTAAAGATAATACTTGCCAATAGGAAAAGACAAAACAAACCGTCAACACTGAAAACCTTCATCCTTTTCCTTCCTTTTCTCTAGTCAAGCTACACTTGATTGAGATCCAGACTCACACCAAAAACCTCACGTCAGGTTTCAAGTTTTGCACGTTTCCCAGCAAATTTGAGGTGCCTGACCACTGCTTCCCGCTGCAGTTGCCCAATCCCAACCAAGGACACGCACAGGGAGGGCTTGCTGTACCCTTGAGTCAGCAGCTCAGGAAATAGGCTGTCCTGCACCAGGTTGGAAGGTCATTGCCACGCATCCTTCCTCCCCAGTGTCCATTTTCCTCTCCCTGAGCCCCCGTACCAGCAGCTGCTCGCCTGCCCATTCCTGCCACCGCAAAACACGCGGCAGGAGGTGCTCCGGAGCGATGATCTCTCCTTCCCTTACTGGAAGCTGAAAGCATCAGAGTTATCGTGCACAGAACCTGGGTATTAAGCAACGTCTCCCATTTGCCCTAGTGTTATCCCGAGGCTACAGACTGCCAGCTTTAAGGCTTACGTGCCTTTCAGCTCAAATAGGAGAAATAGTTGTACTTTAGCCTGACAAAACGGAACGGGTATTGAATGACCAGTGAATATTTTGGTCTCGGAGAACCAAAACCAATTCACACCTCAAGGGAAGTGGAATGGCACCTACAGTGGGATGCAAAACGCCAGCCACGACAGGCAGACTTCGAGACTGATTAGATTAGGACTGGATAAATAGGGAACTCTTGGGGGAGAAAAAAATAATTAGGAAGTTTGTGCCCTTTATGTAGCACCAGTACTTTGGCTGCGCATTGTCTCAAAACTGTATTTCATACACCCAATGTCTCTGTACAGCTATCCAGAAATGCATAGTTAGAAAGATAGTTTAGGATGTCAAGATCTATGCAGAAATCTTCTAAAGCACCATTTCTTTCCGAGTTACAGAGTTTTAAATTCGTGAAGGTCACATTTGCTTTACACGTCACTTTTGATACTCCTTGCATGCCAACTGTAGTTTATGTTAAATTTACCCTCCACATCTCGAACCTCTACTCGCACGATGCGACTTTCTCAGAAACCGAACATTTTCCATACCTGTGTGATTAAAAATCATACCAAAGGCCTCAGCACTTTCTAAGTCCATCCATAAACCCAGCTCGCCGTATTTTATTTACAAATTTACTGTTGAAACTTTTGTTAAGGAGCTAGGATTAAAATGTAGCTATGAATAACCTCTTAACAGCACAGAAGCTACAGACAGGAGTTTATTTCATATCCATTTGATATGCACTGACATTTTAACTGGAAACAGATTAATTTCTAGGTATCCAAGAGTTACTGTTACCAAACCTTTGGCTAGAACGGTCTTCAGAAAGGAACATGATGTCAGGTGTTTAACCACACTCACTAGAAATAAATCAATTTCTGTAATCAATTTTGTTAACTCATCTTGATCTACAAAGCTGCTGATCATCTTGTCCTAGACTAATTCATACGCCTATGAGACGCAAAGGAGATGTAAATTCAAACTCACCCTCCCCAGCCACTCTGAAGGACCTTAGCCTGACCTAAACAGCCATTAAACACACAGCAGCGAAGTGCTAAACTTGACGAGTGTTCATGGATGAATCCAAGGAGATATCAGTTTATAGAGCTGAATTACTGTTCGTATCTTTTCACAAGCCGACTACTTTCTTTGGTCCAGCGTCTGCCTGCTTCGTGTCAGGCCGTTATGCCAATACCACACAAGAAATTTAACACGCTTCTGCTAATAGAAATACTTAGATCTTTCACTCTAAAGCACTACACGGGGTATGGCTTTGCCAGAATCAGCCAGGAAGCGCAGGACGAAAATTATTCCAGTCAACAGCATTTCATGCACAAAACCACAGCTAAAATCCGAGGAACAGATGACATCTATTCAGCATAGATCTGTTCTGTGCTAAAATCACGTCAGCCACTAATGAGAAAGTACTACCTTTTCGTACAGCTCTGACACAAGTTTTCTTGGGAGAAGGGGTGGGTTATCTAACTCCCTTAGCTAAGATGTGTGACCAAAGAATTTGAAACAAGGCAGAAACGATGAGCAATTGATTGTGCAGCAACGACTACTTGATTAGGATTCCTCCATAGGAAGTGAAAATTAGAGCCTGCCTGGCTTCAAAATTACGCTACCTGCTCTTTAGCCTCAAAGAAAAAAAGCCACCCTCGTTTTCTGAACCTGGTGATAGCCAGGGCCCAATCCAGCAAGGTATTCAGCAATTCCTGTGAATGCCAAACATCCACGATTCCCATTGACTACAGGGAGAAATGACAGAGCTCACTAAGAGGGGGGATTCGGCATCTCATTAGTTCAGGCCTTTATTTTGGGGAGGTGCAGGGCCCTCCATCACGTAGCCAGGCTCAGCACTGCTTGAGGAAACAGATTCTTTGAATAAGAAAAAGAAATTGAGCTGTTCAAGGTAGAAAACCGGAAACATTTTCCTCCTCTCAAGCCAGTTTGGTCCTTGTATTTCACGGATCGTGAAGAAAATAACTCACATGGTCTCTGTGCAGAGACGATACTGAAATGTTCGCAAGATTCCTACCA